TGATTTTTCAGTGCAAATCCAGTTCTGAAACTTCCACCTGATCAGTTGCTCCCAAAATGGGCTATACAGTTAACCAAAATGAATTTTGCTCCTAACACCATAGTTTGTTTCCAACGATCACTAGAGCGAGCTTCACCAGAGTGATGTGGGTTTGATTAAGTACCTGAGCTGGTGTTGTACATGCATATATGTTATGTTCACCGCTCCTACCGGATGCCCGCCGCCGAACTCACCATCCGTTCTACACAAGCAACAAAACCGATTGGATTAGCTATTTCGGTTGTTACTTGTATAGTCTGGTGGAATGATCAGTTCCAGTATTACGCCATGGCGGCATCTTTTATATGCAATATACTGTGAACTGAATTTTCTGTTAGTGAAGTTGACAGAACAGAGTACTACAGGGTAGAGGGGTAGAGCATGCAAGTGGTGATTGTTGTGTGGTTTGTGCGTTAGTTATGTGTGAACCGGGCGTCGAGGTAGCGTTGGCTGGTCATCTGCAGCTCATAGGCGCACGAGCACAGCGGTGGCACGCCCACCACCGCCTCCATTGCCCGCAAGGACGCCACCTAGCCGCCGCCGTATTTGGAGAAGAAGCAACAAGCAGTGTGGCCGCTGCCATGGCCGACGCCAGACCTGGTCGATCTCCCACTTCTGTATTCGAGAAAAAAAGATCTCCCTCTTCTCTTGTGATGAGATGGGGAAGAGATGGTGAGATATGAGGTCGATGGCTTTGGGGAGAGGATACGGGTGGACGCCGGCAGTGAGGCGGCGTGAGGAAGACGAGGTGGTTGGCGGTGGCGACGCGTGAGGGGAGGGGAAGGGAGGGGTAGCGGTGCATGGAGGGGAGTGGGTGTGCGGCGTGCCTAGTTCACGAGAGAGGAGAGAGGTCGTCAAGGGAGCGATCCATGGGAGTTTTTTTTCCTTCTGAGCAAGCCTAGTTAGGCTCTCTGCAGCGTCTAGGCCCAATGCACCACATGTCTTCAAATTGGCCACCAGTAGCAGCCCATAGAACAGACAGGGCCAGTTTGCAAATTTTAAAACATAAGTTTTTTAGCGCCCAAGAAAAACAGAACACATATCTTTCCAAACATAATGAACTATAGGTACCACAAAAAAAAACCATAATGAATTATAGGTTGTTACAAGAACTCATGCCATCCAGCTGCCTCCCGCCGACCCTGCCAACATTGTTGTAGCTGCACTCGCAAGCGTTACCATAGGTGATCATTTGCATGATTTCGCGTAAAACAAAATAAGATCTACAAACGGATAGAAGCTACACATACCTTGGCATGCACACACATTGCAAGCCATACTAAGGTGATAAGTGTTAATAACTTGTACAACATATACAACAGTTAAGATAAGTAAAAGCAATTTGATGAGTCATGGTCTATCAAAGCAAGCTTTATTACTACTCTAATCTATCTTAACAGGTCACACATGATTACAATCCTTTTTGTGTGCAAGTCAAGCTTATCTAGTTTACACGTAACAACTTGTAGAACATTACACAATTGATGTTTGCTAATAACTTCTAGAAAGCTAAAACACTTGACATGTAAAAAGAATTTGATGAGTCATGACCTACTAAATCAAGTTACATTACTAGTCTCATCTATCTTAACAGGTCACACAAGATTACAAACTAAGTTCTGCGCAAGCAATGCTTATCTAGTTTACACATAACAACTTGCAAAACATTACAAACTTAGTTTCAAAAAAATTAGGCAATCTAGATTAGTGTTTGAGTTGTAAAGTGAATAAGATGAGTCATGTGTGTTATCACAACTTTTTGGTGGTGGAATGATAGTGCCACCAAGCACAACATACCAAATTATGATTTTAGGAAGCATCCAAGCACTTTCCAGACAAGCAAATGCCAATTGTGAAGGAGATGATGCCATGACAGCTATAAATAGGCATGTAGCATGATGATCATCCTTCCTCATCCATCATTCTCATAAGTAGAGTGCATCATTCAAGCCAAGCAAGCAGTGGTCAATACAAATCCACCATGAAGACCTTTCTCATCCTTGCCCTCCTTGCTATCGTGGCGACCACCACCACAACTGCAGTTAGAGTTCCAGTGCCACAATTGCAGCCACAAAATCCATCTCAGCAACAACCACAAGAGCAAGTTCCATTGGTGCAACAACAACAATTTCTAGGGCAGCAACAACAACATTTTCCAGGGCAACAACAACCATTTCCACCACAACAGCCATATCCGCAGCCGCAACCATTTCTGCCACAACTACCATATCCGCAGCCGCAACCATTTCCACCACAACAATCATATCCACAACCACAACCACAATATCCGCAACCACAACAACCAATTTCGCAGCAACAAGCACAACTACAACAACAACAACAACAACAACAACAACAAATCCTTCAACAAATTCTGCAACAACAACTGATTCCATGCAGGGATGTCGTCTTGCAACAACCCAACATAGCACATGCAAGCTCACAAGTATCGCAACAAAGTTACCAACTGTTGCAACAATTATGTTGTCAGCAACTGTGGCAGACCCCCGAGCAGTCACGGTGCCAAGCCATCCACAATGTCATT